AGAAATTTGTTAAAATCTTTATTGTTTACATATTTTACCTAATGTAAACAATGAATTTTTTTAGCTTAAATTGTGTTAAACATTTTCCATTTTGATTACTTAATAATTTTAATGAAGTTTGCTAATATTTACATTGTTTACATAAGGTAAACAATTGAATATTTAAGAGAATAAAGTTATAAATTCTCTGTTTTCTTAAACAAAAACTTAATTTATATAAATAATTGTCTACATAAAACTTATCAGACATTTTTTACACCATTATGTTGTGTGTAAATTATATATACATTTCATTACATCCCTGTTAAGTTCTTTTAAAACAATCAAATACGAAATTAGTTTAATTTCAAGATTAAATTACAAATATTTGACTATTACTTAGATTCAGGAGTTATGCTCCATTTTCGCCTTCAATCATGGTAGAGAAAAAGTTCTTTTAGCCAAACAACTATGAGTGTTGGTTTGTGTTAAAAGTTCGACAACATGTCTATTGTTTGATTATTGGTAACATGTATCCATCAGATAATATTAGATGGTTAAGATACGATATAAAATGAAATGACAGTATTTTGTTGATGTATGATGGTTGGTGGCATATTCATCAAACTATTTGACATTGACTTGATGGGTTTTATGAATAGTTTCTTTTTGCCATTTTTGTGTGGGCATCTAGCCATCTAGCTAAAACAACTACAACTACATACAAGCAACTATTTGCCATCAATTTGATTTGAATTTTGTCCGTCCGTCCATCCATCTGTCTGTCTGTCTGTCCGTCCGTTTTACTGTTTGGCTGTTTGGCATCATACCACAAGTCTAATATTTGTTATACTTAGATTGAGATTGACATTAAAAATATCTTCTTGTTTTTGTTGTTGTAGTAAGTATACCTACATTAATATAAACTTCTATAAAAACCGTAAAAATTTTGTTTTTTGGTAGAAAAATCTCTTTTAATGAATTAGTCATTAGATCTTTTTTCTGTTAATAGATTTTATTAGACACCTTTGTTTTTGTTTAAAATTTTGAGTTTCTTGTTGTTTTTTTTAAGAGTTTTAATTTGGTGCTAAATTTTAGTGGGTGCAATTTTTTGTGTGTGAGTGTCTACGAAAAACCACAAAAAAGCTAAACAATCATCATATGTGGTGTTAAGTGTTTTTAATAATATTTTGTGAATTTTATTTAAAAAGTAAGAAGCTGAAGAAAAATATTAAGTTGAAAACGACTTATGAAAGCCTTAAGAACTTAAGCTAGAAAAAAAAATAAAAATCTCTTTTCTTTCCCAGTAGGGTATCTTTGCGTTTTACTATAGTTTCCATATAACTTATAACTCTTTATAACTTTTTTTCTATTCTATTTCGCCTTTTTCATTAGTTTGTTGTGTAAACAAGTTTATTTTTGCGTGGTTTTTAGTCTTAACTCTGAAAAAAAGCACATTGCATTTATTCATTCGAGTAACTAAGTATGTAAAAATGTATATAAACATTGTATATATACATCTAAGTAGTCATATCTGTAGGTATTGTTATATATTTGTTCCGCTGCTAGTTATAGCGACTGCCGTTGTGTGTCCTTCATTGTGTCTGTTAGAATTTTATAGTGTGTTGGTTGAATATTTTTTTCGCTCTCTCTATATATTTCTATTCAATTAAATTTCATTTTACTTAGAAATGAAAAGTAATTGAACTTCCGTAAAATGTATAAAAAAAAAAAAAAAATTAACAATAACAACAAATTGTAGCGTATATAACTTTATTAATTACTATTTAATTAATAACATCGTCACAATATGTAATTAGTTTCTTTGAATTATATAATAACTTTGTATTTGTTTTCAAAAAAGTTTCGTTTAACTTAAAATGGCAATAGAGTTAATAAAAACAACAAAAAAAACTGCAAACTAATTAAATAATAATATGTACTATTTTTAGGAACAAATAAGTGGATAATAAATTAAACGTTTTTATAGAATTTTGTGTTAAATATGAATGTTTTCAAAGTTTTCACTAAAACATGATTTTACACAGTTTTACACCTAAATTTTGAATTCTTTACCTTATGTAAACAATGTGAAGTTAGTTTTTCACTAAATATTAATTATTTACGTAATGTAAAATATGTAAATAATGTAGATTTAAAATAAAATACTTTAAAATATTTTCGTAGATAAGGTTGTAATCTAAATTTATAGTCTAGACTAGTATGTAGTCTGGACTATAGTCTAGTCTTAATATAGACCCATCTATATTCTAGACTAAAGAATTTTCTATTATCTGGACTATAGTCTAGTCTATAGTCTGAACTATAGTCTAGTATATTTATGGACTATAGTCTAGTCTATATTCTGGAATATAGTCTAGTCTATAGTCTGGACTATAGTCTAGTCCATAATCTGGACTATAGTTTAGTCTATAGCATGGACTATAGTCTAGTCTATAGTCTGGTCTATAGTCTTGTCTATAGTCTAGTTTATAGTCTGGACTATAGTCTGGACTATAGTCTAGTCTATAGTCTGGACTATAGTCAGGACTATAGGCTAGTCAATAATATAGACTATAGTCTACTCGATAGACTAATCTATAGTCTAGTCGATAGTCTATATTCCATAGTCTGGACTATAGTCTAGTCTATAGGCTGGACTATAATCTAGTCTATAGTCTGGACTATAGACTAGTCTATAGTCTGGACTATAGTCTAGTCTATACTCTGGACTATAGTCTAGTCTATAGTCCTGACTATAGTCTAGTCTATTGTCTGGACTATAGTCTAGTCTACAGTCAAGTCTATTGTCTGGACTATAGTCTAGTCTATTGTCTGGACTATAGTCTAGTCTATAGTCTGGACTATAGTCTAGTCTATAGTCTGGACTATAGTCTAGTCTATAGTCTGGACTATAGTCTAGTCTATAGTCTGGACTATAGTCTAGTCTATAGTCTGCACTATAGTCTAGTCTATAGTCTGGACTATAGTCTAGTCTATAGTCTGGACTATAGTCTAGTCTATAGTCTGGACTATAGTCTGGTCTATAGTCTGGACTATAGTATACTCGATAGTCTGGACTATAGTCTACTCGATAGTCTGGACTATAGTCTTCTCTATGTCTGCACTATAGTCTATAGTCCAACTATTGATTACATCATAATCAAGACTAGATTATAGTCCAGACTATAGACTATGCTATAGTACATATTATATACTATACTACTGATCAGACTATAGCACAGTCTATATACTAGACTACAATCCGAAATATTTACTGGACTATAGTCCAGACTATAAACTAGACTATAGTCCAGACTATAGACTTGTCTATAGTCGAGTCTTGATTATGGTCTAATCTATATTCTGTACTTGTTTATAGTTTGGACTTTAATCTATTTTATAGTCAGGACTATAGTTTAGTCTATATTCTGTACTATAGACTAGTCTATATTCTGTAATATAGTCTAGTCTATAGTCTGGACTATAGTCTGGTCTATAGTCTGGACAATAGGCTTGTGCAATCTAGTCTATAATCTGGACTATAGGTTTGTACAATCTAGTCTATAGTCTGGCATATAATCTAGTCTATACTCTGGACTATACTCTAGTCTATACTCTGAACTATAATGAAGTGTATAGTCTGGACTATAGTCTAGTCTATAGTCTGGACTATAGGCTTGTCTATAGTCTGGACTATAGACTAGTCAATAGACTGAACTATAGTCAAGTCTACAGTCTGGCCCTATGATCCTATCAGGATCGAATGGAATTAATAATAATTGTCTGGACTATAGTATAGTCTGTAGTCTTGACTACAGTCTAGTCTATAATCTGGACTATAATCTCGTCTATAGTCTGGTCTATAGTCTAGTCTATACTCGGAGTTATAATTTAGTATATAGTCTGGACTATAGTATGGTCTATAGTCTGGAATAGTCTATAATCTGGACTATAATCTTGTCTATAGTCTAGTCTATACTCTGGACTATAATTTAGTCTAAAGTCTGGTCAATAGACAATAGTCTATAGTCTGAATAGTAGTCTAGTCTATAGCCTGGACTATAGTCAAGTCTATAGTTCATACTGTAGACTTGACTATACTCCTAATTTTGGAGTTGCTTATATTTCAGGTTGTAAAGTAGACTATAGTCCAGTTTAGAGAATAGAAAATAGATTAGACTATAGATTAGATTCGTTATAGAAAACACTATGTGTGCATTTAAAATTTCCCTAAAAATTGTATTTTGTCACTAGCATGAATATTTTTGTCATTAAATATCTCTAACGCGCATGCCTCAAAAGCCGTCATTGTTTGGCCTGCTAAAGTGTTAAGGCTTTTATTATAACTTAAATACTTAACACTTTTTCGCTTGATAATGAATCATTCAAACAACAAACATTTTTTAAGTAGGTTTATTATGACTAAATAGAATACTCCATATTTTATGTTTGTTATAGTTTAATTTTAGTTTTATTACTTTGTTTAACAATATAATGACTTTTTTTGCGGGTTCATATTGCTGTTAAAACAGCCACCATAAAATAATGTTTGTTTTTTGGGTTTTAAACAAATGTTTATGTTTTTTTTTTTTATCTATAAACAACACACTTCCCCACTCATAAACTAAACAAACTAAAAGCTAAAAAATCTGCTTAATATTTATGTGTTCAAATGTTCAGTGCATTAAAATTTATTGAACTTTAAGGTTTTTTTTTCGTTTTGACAATTCAAAGTTAAGGTCATTGCTGGGATTTTGACCACAAAACAAATCAAACAAATGTTTGAAAAGACGTAAAAACTATTAAAACACCCGAGAAATTTGTGTGGTAGTAAGTTAAGAGCTGCTCTAGCAAACTCCCAGTTAGCAGTGATTATGGAGCAATGAACTTTTATTGTTTATATATTATTAATGGGGTTTATTAGTTTTAGATGTTGTGTGTGTTTTTTTTAATAATATTTTTAAATATGTTTATAATACCAACTAATTAATTTATTATCTGGAAGTGATAACACTTACCCTGACTGTGTATGTTGTTGGGAGCTGTGGAATAAAAGAGATGACAACATTTTAAAATATTAATTACATAAATTTGAATAATTTTAATTATTAGTCTTAGGGGAGTTATATTGCAGCAATTTATAAACATTTTTTGAATTTAATAAATTGAAAAATATTGCACAAGGTTTTTCTGAAATTTTAAAGATCTTCTTTTAACGATTTTTATTCAACAATTTATAAAAACATACAGATATTTTTTAAAGTTAGACTATAAAGTAGAATCTAGACTAGACTATAAACTAGACTATGGATTATAATCCAGACTATAGACTAGACTAGCCTAAAGTCCAGACTATAGTCAAGACTACAGACCAGACTATAGACTAGATTATTGCCTAGACTATAGACTAGATTATTGCCTAGACTATAGACTAGACAATAGACTAGACTATAGACTAGACAATAGACTAGACTATAGACTAGATTATTGCCTAGACTATAGATTAGACAATAGACTAGACTATAGACTAGATTATAGTCCAGACTATAGACTATTCTATAGTCAAGACTACAGACTAGACTATAGATTAGACTGTAGACTAGACTATAGACTAGACTATAGACTAGACTATAGACTATACTATAGACTAGACTATAGACTAGACTATAGACTAGACTATAGACTAGACTATAGACTAGACTATACACTAGACTATACACTAGACTATAGACTAGACTATAGACTAGACTATAGACTAGACTATAGACTAGACTATAGACTAAACTATAGACTAGACTTTAGATTAGACCATAGACCAGACTATAAACTAGACTATAGACTAGACTATAGACTAGACTATAGACTAGACTATAGACTAGACTATAGACTAGACTATAGACTAGACTATAGACTAGACTGTAGACTAGACCATAGACTAGACTACAGACTAGACTATAGACTAGACTATAGACTAGACTATAGACTAGACTATAGACTAGACTATAGACTAGACTATAGACTAGACTATAGACTAGACTATAGACTAGACTATAGACTAGACTATAGACTAGACTATAGACTAGACTATAGACTAGACTATAGACTAGACTATAGACTAGACTATAGACTAGACTATAGACTAGACTATAGACTAGACTATAGACTAGACTATAGACTAGACTATAGACTAGACTATAGACTAGACCATAGAATATACCATAGATTAGACCATAGACTAGACTATATACTAGACTATTGACCAGATAATAGACCAGACTGTAGACTAGACTACAGACTAGCCACAGACTAGACCATAGACTAGACCATAGAATATACCTGACTTGACCATAGACTAGACCATAGACTAGACCACAGACTAGACCATAGACTAGACCATAGAATATACCATAGAATAGACCATAGACTAGACGATAGACTAGACCATAGACTAGACCATAGACTATATACAAGACTATTGATCAGATCATAAAGACCAGACTGTAGACTAGACTATAGACTAGACTGTAGACTAGACTATAGACTAGACTATAGACTAGACTATAGACTAGACTATAGACTAGACTATAGACTAGACTATAGACTAGACTATAGACTAGACTATAGACTAGACTATAGACTAGACTATAGACTAGACTATAGACTAGACTATAGTCTAGACTATAGACTAGACTATAGACTAGACTATAGACTAGACTATAGACTAGACTATAGACTAGACTATAGACTAGACTATAGACTAGACTATAGACTAGACTATAGACTAGACTATAGACTAGACTATAGACTAGACTATAGACTAGACTATAGACTAGACTATAGACTAGACTATAGACTAGACTATAGACTAGACTATAGACTAGACTATAGACTAGACTATAGACTAGACTATAGACTAGACTATAGACTAGACTATAGACTAGACTATAGACTAGACTATAGACTAGACTATAGACTAGACTATAGACTAGACTATAGACTAGACTATAGACTAGACTATAGACTAGATTATAGACTAGACTATAGACTAGACTATAGACTAGACTATACTAGACTATAGACTAGACTATAGACTAGACTATAGACTAGACTATAGACTAGACTATAGACTAGACTATAGACTAGACTATAGACTAGACTATACACTAGACTATAGACTAGACTATAGACTAGACTATACACTAGACTATAGACTAGACTATAGACTAGACTATAGACTAGACTATAGACCCGACTAGACTATAGATTTCACTATAGTTAAGACTATTTATCTAACTATAGGCTAAACTAGGGACTAGACTATAGTCAAGACTTTATTTATAGATTAGACCATAGTCTCGACCAAACTCCATTATATCTTGGAAACTACAAGAGATAGACGCAAAACAATGTTTAGACCATAGTCTATACTCTAGACTAGACTATAGTCTAGACTAAAGATTTCACTATAGTTCAGACAATGTTTCAAACTATAGGTTAGACTAGAGACTAGCCTATAGTCAAGACTACATACAAGACTTTATACCAGACAATATGTAAAGCCTAACTTGTTTCTAAACATTGTTGACAAAAGAAATGTTGCAAAACACAAATTAAACAAGTTTCTAAACAACTTTTCTAATTTCATAAAATTTACTTTTAATAAGATTACAATTAAAAAATATGTTTTAATAATTTAACTTTTAAAAAATTTGTAATTTTAAATAGTTAATATTAAAACTAATACTGAGCGGGGTTGTACAATGTCACAAACAAATAATAACGTATGATGACAATAAAATGAGCTAATGAAGTCGTTTCTTAATTCCTGATAAATTTTCATTGTGGTCAACAACACAGTAAAAAAAAACACAAAAAAAAAGAAAAAACCTACGCAATTTTAGTTTTCGACATAAAAAAAAACTTACAAAAAATATTACAATTCATAAACCATAGAAAGAAAAAAATAAAAAAAAAACTTAAATTTATGTGGTGGAACTAAATAAAATGAATACAACTTGAAATTGTCGCATGTCTTTAAAAAAAAAAAAAACTTTAATGAATGAAAATGTTTATAAAAATTTTTTTCTTCAATATTTTTTTTTTTTTAGAAGTAGAACTAGTTTTTTTATAGTATAATATTTTTTTCCAACTAAAACTAGTATAAATTTCATAATAAACTTGGTGAGTTTGAAAAATAAAGATGATGTTGATGATTTTCTTTGCACACACATGTGATAAATTTACACCTACATTTATAAATTGAATTGAATTGAATTTAAGAAAAAAGTTGTAAATAAATGAATGAATTTTGTTATATTACAGCTGTACCCAGCCAGCACCAATGTTAAACTGGTAATAAAATCTTAACAAATCTACGTCATTGTTTAAATATTATTATTTAAATAAATACCTACTACTACTACACAATATTTATTTATTTTCTTACTTTAATTAACATAAATTGTTTAAATTAATATTTATATGCATTTAAATGCAAATTATAATTTTAAATTATTAATACAGTTGCATACCTGTTTAAATCTGCTGCAGTACATAAGTATGTTTTCAAACAAATGCTTATAAACATGTAGCTAGATACAAGTATGTTTGGAATGTTTAATGCGCCTTTAATTGTTATTTAATGTGTGGATATTAAACTTTAGGTTACAGTTTAATGTTGAAAAAAACCTTGAAATTTTATTAATTATTTTCTGTTTTGTTTTTCTTAAAAATCGCTACATAATTAAGTTATAAATTCTTTTAATTATTTTGTAAACAATTTAACATGTTTACAGTATTAACTAGTATTTAGTTTGTAAACAAATTAAATTAAAATATAGAAAACATTTTAAAGAAACTATTAAAATTTTGAAAAAAAATATTGTTTATTTTTAGCAGCAATATTTAACTTTTCTATTAAAATTTATACTTTTCAAATATTAATAAATATGCAACACCTTAGTTTTACTTACAATTATAAAACATAATTAAATATTTAGTAAAGCAATTTAGTTATTTAATAATTTAATTAAAATGTTCTCTGAACGATTTTTTTTTTTCAAAAATATTCAAGCTAAGAGTTTAAAACTAGCATCGCGCCAATAAACCCTAAGGTTTTTTTTAAAAACCATTGCAAATTTTTACTCCATGTCACTTTTTGATTCGAATTAACAACGTCCGTCTTTCTGTTAAAATTTTATAAACGTAAAATTTTTGAACTCTTCTGTATTACTTTCCGATCGGTACAGAAGTCTAAACTTCTGTACTCAAATCGGAAATCTCAATTTTGAAAATAAATCTATGGAATTTGGTTCTCGTATCAAAAAACCCTTAAGATAAAGTTTAAAATGGTTTACGATTTCACCTAGCCTTAATTTCGGATTCGTAGGACTTACTGATTCGATTTCACAAGGTCTGTCTCTAATTAAACTGCAGGTCAAAATTTTAATAACAATTCGTCAAAATTCCCCGCTGTTACCATTTTAGATCCAACGAAGAGCCAGATTGAAAATAGTTTACAACAATGTCCATTATATTTTAACACAAACCTAAGTTGAACTCAAAATCTTTTTCTGATTCTGTATAACAATGTCCGTCTATATCTTAGCTGATTACAAGTCGAAATTTAGATCCAATCACCAACTATACTTTTTAGATCCAATGACCAACTAACTATACTTCAAATATTTTAAAGCGAAATCGGTTATGGTTTCAGCTAGTTCTCTATTGGACTCAAAATCACTTTCTGATTCGATTTAAAAAAGTCCAACTGTCTCCAATCAAATATATAAAAATGTCAATCAATGTATATCTTATCTGATTACAAGTCATAATTTTAAAAACAATGCATTCTAGGTCTTATGACCAACTATAATGAAAATAGTTTAAAGCGAAATCGGTTATGCTTTCGCCTAGTTCTCTATTGGACTTAAAATCACTTTCTCATCCGTTTTAACACAGTCCGACTGTCTTTAATGAAAAATATATAACAATATCCGTCTATATCATATCAGAATACAAGACGCAATTTCGAAAAGAATAA